ATAATTATTCAAGGATTTTCAAAATAAAAATCGTGGAAAAGATAGGCAATTTTTCAAGGATTTTCAAAATAAAAATCGTGGAAAAGATAGGCAATTTTTCAAGGATTTTCAAAATAAAAATCGTGGAAAAGAGAGGCAATTTTTCAAGGATTTTCAAAATAAAAATCGTGGAAAAGATAGGCAATTTTTCAAGGATTTTCAAAATAAAAATCGTGGAAAAGATAGGCAATTTTTCAAGGATTTTCAAAATAAAAATCGTGGAAAAGATAGGCAATTTTTCAAGGATTTTCAAAATAAAAATCGTGGAAAGGATAGATAATTTTTCAAAGACTTTTAGAATAATAATAACAGATTTTCTGTAGAAAACATTTTTCAAGAATTTTCAGACCAACATTTTAACATTTTTTGACGAACAGGTTTCAAGGATTAAAGTGTATTTTTCAAATGATATCTGACCAATAATCGTAAATTTTGAAGGAATATTTTTCAAGATCTAACGAACCAACAATCGTGAATTTTACAAGACTTCCAGACCAATAATTTAGGATTATTTTGGAGGTCCTTCAGACTTATAATCGTAGATTATTTGAAGACAGTTTTTAAGTAGACAAATAATAGTTTTTAAGAACATTTTTAAGGACTTTTGAACGCATTTTTTACGAAAACTTTTCAAGGATATAATCGCGGATTGCCCTGAAGAGTATTTTTTAAGGACTTTCAGTTGAATAATCGTGGATTTAAACCTTTATATCTTGGATTTTAACGAAAATGTTGCATGGACTTTTAAACCAAAAATTGTGGACAAGGTTATTTGTTAAGAAATATTTTTCAAGGACTTTTTTAACGAATATTTTTCATGGACATTCATGAATTTTTCTAAAGATTACGTTTCAATGACACTCTTGAATTTTCTTAAATATAATACATGCTTCAAGATGGATAACCTAATTTTGTAACCATTCGAGGAACCTAATTTTGTAACCATTCTTATGTGGCGTGTGCTGAGTGCGATGGTGCTGAGTCCTGTTGGAATGTCAAAGGTCTGCGGCCAAAATGCGCCTCTTTACTTTTCGAACCAGTTCTGCTCATGTTGCTGTTTTCTTCCGTCCACTTCATTGACCTCGGGCTACGCTACAAGTATCACATTTAGTTATTCACACTTAAATGCTGGAGTGCTCTAACGATAGCCACTTGTGGTTTTCCAGCCAAATATAAAGAAATCATTATATCACGCTTGAATTCCATCACGAATAACTTTTTTTTCTGGAAAATTCTCACCAAAATCCTTCTGTACGCTTGTAAAATATATAATGAGCCGTCACTGGAATAATTTTAACAGCTCTCGGACGAGTGACTTAGAAATGACAGCAGTCTGAAGTTGGTTGCAGTTTTTTCATTCCACCATGTATAGTGGATTTTACAGGACTTCCAGACCAAAAATTGAGGATTTTTTGAAAGTCTTTCAATTTTTATTCTCGTAGAAATGTGAAGAAATTTTTTGATAGATTTATTATAGAAAAAAATTTAAGGACCAACAGACCATAAATGGATTTTTAAGAGTATTTTTCAAGGACTTTCGAAAGAATAATGATGAATTTTTAGAAATTTTTTAGACTTTTAGATCTCTTATTTTGGATTTTAAGAAACATGTTTTAAGGATTTTAACGCCAAAAATCGTGGGCCAAAAACTTTAGTTTTATTAAGAAACATGTTTCAAGGACATTCCGACACATAATTGTGCTTTATTCAACAAATATTTTTCAAGGACAAACATAATTTTTTTAAGATTATTTTTTACGGACTTTCGTGATCTTTTTTTTAAATATAATATAAGAATATGTCTCAAGATCGCAATCCTGATTTTATTTTATTTTTTTTTTTAATTAATTTTAAAGGATTTTCAAGGATTTTTTGTGGATTTTAAAAATATTATTTTTTACAGACCTTTCAACCAATAAATGTGGATTTTTAAGTACTTTCAGACGAATTACAGTCAATTGATGAGTAATAGTTTCCAAGGACCTTCAGGCAATTAATTATGTATTCTTTCAAGGCCATCCAGAACCATAATCGACAATTTTTTAAAGAATATATTTTTTAGGAACTTTCAGGGATTTAATCAATACTATTTTTCATGGTCTTTCAGACTAATTTTCGTGGATTTTTTAAAGGATATATTTCAAGGACGTTCGGTGAATTTTATAGAATATTTTTTCAGAACTTTCAGACCAATAATATATCATTATATTTTAATAAATAATTACATATTTTAATTTTAATTTTTTATGAAACGGGTCATATGTTTCTGTTGAAATACCTTTGAATATCACAAATTAATTCAACGATTTCACAAAGAATGAATTGCCATGTCATGTAATTAATATGATTGACATATGAATTACCATTAATCCCCTGGAGAATGAAAGAAATACCATTTAAATTCCGATCGAAAAAAAACACAATAAGGCGATAAAAGAAGCCGTATATGTATGTAGGAAGAGATGTCAAAGTTTTATAGGAATATTTCATTACGACAAGTGATTTTCAAGAAAATATTGAAAGGAAATGTATAGTTCTCAAGAAGAGGCAGAGGAAGTTTTTATAGAACCCAAATACTCTCGCCCCACTGTTTTTAGAAAAATATTTGCCAATTTTTATATCCTACACCACTAGGTGGTCAGGATATTATGTCTTTGTGCATTTGTTTGTAACAGGCAAAAGGAAACGAGATAGTTCCCATAGTTCCTTTTGATGATCTGCATAGAATCACTTTCTGAGTTGATTTATGCGTGTCAGTCCGTCTGTCAGTCTGTCCATGTATTTTTGCAGGTCGCATTTATTATCCGATTAAGATGAAATTTTGCACAAAACATTTGCTTGGCCCAAGGACGAACCCTATTGAAATTGGAGATAATCGGTAAAAATTTAGATATAGCTCTCATATATATCTTCGTCCGATTTGCCTTTTATTGTGCACCAAACGTGTAATATCAGCCCGAATAGTATGGAATTTCGCACATACAACCAAATTAGGCCTGAAAATAAGTATGACAAATTTGATCGAAATCGATTCAGATATAGTTATAGCTCCCATATCCATATTGTTCATCCGATTTGTTATTTTTGTCCTCCGCAGCCGTACTATGCACTCTGTAACAACAATATTTTGGGAAAATATATCAAATACAGCTCAGAAATACATTTGCTAAATTTCATCGAGATCGGTTCAGATTTGGATATAGCTCCCATATATATAACTTCGTACGATTTACCTTTTTAGTGTGCACCAAACGTCTAATATTTGCTCAAATGGGATGGAATTTCGCACTTACGACCGAATTGAGTCTAGAAGGTAGTATGTCAAATTTGTCAAAGATCGGTTTAGATATAGCTATAGCTCCCATATATATTGTTCATCCGATTTGTTATATTTGTTACCTACAGCCGTAATATGCACTCCGCAACAACGATATTCAGGGAAATATATGAAATACAGCTCTGAAATATCTTTGCCAAATTTTATCAAGATCGGTTCAGATTTGGATATAGCTCCCATATATATATTCAAATGGGCAATACAAGTCCGAATTTAAAAGATACAAATGCTTCGGCATATTTAGTCCTTTGAACTTTTAATTAAAACAAGTTAAAAAGTATCAGTCGGTATTACCGCCAGACATATACCCTCAGCTTATGTTCGATTATCTAAATATATTTTGACTAGCGTTAAGATTACTCAAACGTTTGACCCTCTATGGAGCAGATCCCGAAGGAATGGACCCATGTTGCCCATTTCCTATCGGACCCAAAAATATGATATAAATATTTCGACAGATGTGCCAAGTCTAAATGGAATCGGATGTTAATTTGGCGTTTTATGAGCTTCATGGGTACTCAATATTTCAATATTTTGTGGGGGAGGTACCAGAAGGAGTGGACCGATGTATTGCCCCTACACACCAGACCATGGGTTAATACAAATATTAGGATGTGTGAAATTTGAAGACAATCGGACTTTTACATCACATTTAATGAGATTGTAATTATTCAAAATGTTGACCATTTGTGGGGGAGGTACTTGATGGAGTGGACCGATATTGTCCATTTTTACACCTAACGTAGAACTGATGCAAATATTAGGATTTGCAAAGTTGGAGCAGAATCAGATTATCCTTTCTCTTTCTGTGCAAAAAATATATTTTTTGAAAATTTCGACCTTTTGTGGGGGAGGTACCAGAAGGAGTGGACCGATACATTACATTTTCACCCCAGACCTTGGTCTAATAAAATTAATAGGATGTGTGAAATTTGAAGACAATCGGACTCTTACATTACATTTTATGAGAGTTGTAATTTTTCAAAATTTTGACCATTTGTGGGGGAGGTACTTGATGGAGTGGACCGATATTGTCCATTTTCACACCTGATCTAGTACTGACGCAAATATTAGGATATGCAAAGTTGAAGCAGAATCGGATTATCCTTTCTCTTTCTGTGCAAATAATATATTTTTTTTGAAAATTTCGACCTTTTGTGGGGGAGGTACCAGAAGAAGTGGACCGATATTGCCCATCTCCGACCTCGATCTAAGTTTGACAAAAATATTACGATGTAGCCAATTTGGACCAAATCGGATACTCCCTTCGAGAGTTATCGTGCGCACCAGCCAGCCAGACAGACAGACGGACATCGCCAGATCGACTCCAAATGTTCTGAAACGGATTTGGTCCAAAGAGACCTAGGGTCTAAAACCATTATTTCGACTAGGCACGTTTTGGCCGTATCAAATGATATATACCCTCTGTAGCCATATGGCTGAGGGTATGATTATAATTACAGCGTGTGCGATTGAATTCTCCCCTAAAAACCTTGTTATGTGGAGCTCTACTAAATTAGCAAACTGGTGTAGGGGGGTATCATAAAGTCGGCCCCGCTCGACTTTAGGATTTTCTTTACTGGTTTTCAAATAATTTTATAATCTAATTACATTCACCACTCACCTCGTGTCCGCATCTGGGATCGCATTGCAGAGCCTTGGTGAGCCTCTGGTACGGCGGTGTGGTATTGGGACACTTTGGCACGGACGCTGTTGGCTCTATTAAATCACCGTGGGTATCCACGACGGCTGTTTTTTATTGAAGATGTCCCGTGGAGTTTGAATGACGTCTTTAGTATTTTTCGATTTTTCTCTCTTTCACAATTTAAATCAATGCATTGGCGGATGCAGGAGACACCTTTCAAATGGATTGCGATTGTTATGGCCGATGTTGTTGTAATAAATAACTGACATAAATTCAAACATGCGTTGCGATTTTGAAAATGTATTAAAATATGGGTTTTTCGTTCCTCTCTCTCTCTCTCTCTCTCTCTCTCTCTCTCTCTCTCTCTCTTTGGCTTTTCTTGAGGTATTTTATTGCCAATGTTTTTTATTTCTTTTTTTCTTCTAGCCTTTGGTTTATGGGTTAGTATGCTTTTGACTTTGGCCTTTATGGGGCGAGCATAACTTTAAAGGTGATTTTTTGTTGGCTTTTCGGTTAAATGCCTTCTGTTTGAGGGCTGATAAAAATTATTGCTGCGGATATACGTCTCTCCACACACTCTCACACTCTTCTAAAACGCCACAGCAGATTTAAACTCTTTCTTTTTTCGGATTTCTTTTCTACTCCTCACCTTCTGCTTCTTATTTACAGCAGATTTTCTTTGGTTGCGACTAGAAGCACATTAAATATCCTGTTTTATTGCCTCCTTACAATTACAGAACCAGAAGTGTGGGAACAAGAAGTGATATGACTGCCGTTATCCTTGCTGATGGATTTTTATGTTTATTTCCTTTTTTATATTTTCTAGACAATGTTCAATTTCTCTCCGTGCTGTTGTAGGTGTTGTTTTTGTTGTGATACTTTTGTAGGGAATTGCTTCTATTAACCTTTTATGTCTTCATTTAATAACTGAAATGAGATATAAAGAAACATAAAAAATTGTTACTTTTTAATTCAACACTTTTAACATTTAAACGGGAGAAATGGTACAGCTAAGATCAGGACTAATGGAATGCAATTCAGCATCTATTTGAGGTATATTTTTGCCATAGATCAATAAAATAGTGCATTTCTTAAGATTTTCCTGCCGAGAACTAAAGATCCAGTTTAAAATAGTAATTTTGGAAGGATAATCGTAGATTTTTTTGGAATATTTTCGAAGGATAATTGTTTATTCTTTTGAAATATTTTTTTTTACGATTATTTTTTTAAAGGCTATAATAATGAGTGTTAGTAGTATTTTTAAGGACCATCCTGGTTTTCAAGAATAGTTTTTCGAAAAGGTATCATGGGTATTTAACAATATTTTTTAAATCTCCCAGCTTTTCAAGGATTACCAGAGTTAAAAGTCTATACTGGTAAAATATTTTTCGTAAAACTCAGGCCAAAAAATCATGTAAATATTTAAAATATTTTTTAAGGACTTATCAAATTTATGAAGAATATTTTTTTAAGAACCCTTAGGCCTATGATCATTGAATTTGCATAATATTTATTTATTTTTTATTTATTTTTGTAATACTTTGAAGGAGTTTGTAAAATTTGTTAAGGATAATTAGAAATATTTTATTTTATATATTTTAATCGTACCTAACATTTTGAATTTAATATTTTAAGGTCTATCCTGTATTTTTTTTTTTTTTTTTTTTTGGAATAGCTCTCGGTTTTTTTTTGTTTGCATATTTTTAAGGACTATCGTGGAAATTTCAAGATTATTTTCTTAAAAATAAAATATTTTGTAAAATACCTTTAGACTTATAATCCTGTATTTTTAAGATTGTTTTCTCAAGGACTATCAGCTCTTTAATGTTAGTTTTTTTTTTCGAGGATTTTCAAAGGGTTATTTGGCAAAAAACCAGAGAGGTTTTGCTAATTTTAGTTTTTAGTAATAGTGGACTTATACAGAATACCTTTTAAGAACTATCAGACCTATAATCGCAAATAAGTTATAGTTCTGATAATTTAAAAATTTGGATAAGGACAAGTCAAAGATTGATGGATTTATTGGAATACATTTTAAGGATAATCATGTATTTTTCGGCATATTTTTTTAAGATTAATCTTGATTGATTTCATAAAATTTTTGTGAGTTTTATAACCGAAAATCCTTTCTAAGGACTATGTCAGATTTTTTAAAACGTTTTTGGTTTTTTAATAAATTTTTAACATATTGTTTTGAAGGATAATTGTGGCTATTAATATTTTTTAAGTACCACCAGACTTATCGTTGATGGTTTTATTAAAAACATTTTAAGGACTATTTTCAAAAATCATCTGACCAATAAGTTTGGTTTTTTTAAGATTTTTTTTTGTGGACAGTTTAAAGGTCTTCAAGATCCAGGGATTTTTATAAAAAAATGTTCCTCGACGCAATATTATTTTTAGGAATTTGGATTTAAAAACATATTTTTATACCCTCAACCATATGGCTAGAGAGGGTATATTTCATTTGATACGGCCAAATAGTGCCTCCTGGAAATAACCCTAGATCTCTTTGGACCAAATATTTGTTAGCTATACTAAATGCGCATAGTGGTATAGTATCTTATTGACCTTTCTTTAATGATTTTAGGTCATTCTTAAGATCGTATTTTAAAATCATATTTGTAATGTCGTGAATTCTTTAAATAATAATTTTTGAGAACATTCTGTCCTTCTAAAAGAAGATTTTTTCGGGCATTTTTAAGGGCCTAGGTTTTTAAATAATATTTTAAAGGACATTTATGTCTCTAAACATGGACTTTTAAAATAACATTTTCAAGAACATTCAGGTCTTTTTAAGGATATAATTTTTTGAATAATATATTTTAAGGATATTCAGGTCTTTTTAGGGATGTATTTTTATACCCTACAACACTATGTGTTGGGGGTATTATAAGTTTGATTGGGTCAAAAATTATGTAACACCACGAAATATTGGTTTCCCACATAGGAAAGTATATATGGATCATCCTAGCTCGCCGAGCTGAGTCGATCTAGCTATGTATGTCCGTCCGTCCGTCTGTCCATGTTAACTTGTAATCACTCTACAGGTCGCAATTATGGCCCGATCTTCACGAAATTTGGAATGGAGGTCGGGGTTGGGTCAGAATAGAACCCTATTTCTTTTTGAGATGATCGCCAAATGTTTAGGGGTTGAAATGGACCAAATACTGAAAAAATGTCGGATTTTGCAGTAGCTATACAGGTTTAGGGCTGGCAAGAAGCCTACCAATTTGGGTGGTCATCGGATAATATTTAGCGGGTAAAATAGACCATATATTTTGTGTTGAAAAAATTCCAAATTTTTCATTAATCCGCGAATATTTTAAATCCCGGCTAAATCACAAAGCCATGACAAGGTTACTTCTGACCTTTACATTGATGTTAACATCCAACAAATCGGATATACAGCAAAATATGTGCGATATAAATGTTTATCAAAGAAGATATGCTTGAAAGATCTCTTATATGTCGAGAACGGCTGAACTGATTTCGACAGTTCTCATTAATTCAGAATGGCCCCTTGGCAGGAAAGAAAACACGTCTAAAAAAATCGCATAAAAATATCTCTCTAAAGATGAAAATATTGATTTTGTAAAATTTTCTCATATTTTTTCAATTTTGTCATATTTTTGGCATATTTTCATTTTGTTTCATTTTGAATTAAACATTTGGTAATATTTCTACAGCTAGCAAAACTAAGTAGTTAGGATATCAGGATATCATATACAGATCGCATTTATGGCCCGATCCTTACGAAATTTTGCACGGGGATAAGATGAGGGTCAAAATAGAAGCCTACTCTTTTTGGAGATGATCGCCATATATTTAGGGGTTGAAATGGACCAAAAAACTGCAAAATTGTCGCCAGGTCGTAATTATCGCCCGATCATCACGCACATTTGAAAGGGGGTTACCGGACATTGCAAAAGCCATGCAGTTTTGGATGGCCATCCAAAAATATTCAATGTGTGAAATAGTTTGCCAACTTTTGTAGACGAAATACGAAAATGTCGATTCCAGTGACTTTTTGGAGAATTCACAAATACAGGAAAGACGCACTTCTGAGTATTTCGTTGAAGAATGTCTGTATCTCATATAAATGCGTTTCAGTCAAAAACCAATAATAAATGTTAATCTTTTGCCACTTCTGAGAGATTATAGGTCTTTGGGAAATATTGGTTCCAGATCTAGGAAGACCATTTACGTGCAACATCTACCAATTAATTGGAAACGAGCAAATTAGTTGAAGTTGCTATTATTCGAAAATTAGAGAACGGAACCTGATGGTTTTCTTTTATTATTTGTCACAATATCTTGTGGAATTCTTTCGAGTATCTTGCCTATATAAACTGTATCGTTTATTATAGTGTTGTAGGGTATTCAACGGTCGGCCCCGCTCGACTGTAGCCTTTGCTTACTTGTTTTTTTTTTTTAATTTTATTGAATGAAAGCAAAAATTTCGGAAATAACATCATATATTAGAATAAGTTTAGATTTGTTCGTATTGGTCACCTTTGGCACGAATTATGGCCTTCAAACGTCCAATGAAACCGTCACACGCTGCCCGAATGTTGCTCTGCGGTATTTTGACCCATTCAGGGCGAAGCGCTTGCTTAAAGTGATCGACACTAAAGTATTTTTTAGTGCCAACTTTGCTTTCCAAAATACTCCAGCCAAAATAGTCCAACGGATTGGTATCCGGAGATTTTGGTGGCCATTGTGCGCTGGAAATGAAGCGAGAAACCTCATTTTGCAACCATTCTTGGGTGGCGGTGGCGTGCTAAGTGCAATGGTGCTGAGTCTTGTTGGAATGTTAAAGGTCTGCGGCCAAAATGTTTGCGTACCCAAGGCTTCCCTCCAGAATATTTTCGCGATAATATTCGCCATTTATTCTGATGCCACTGACGGTTAATACGAGCGGAGAGCGACCATTGCCTGTTATTGCGGCTCTCACTATCACCATGGCCGGTGCTTGAGTTCTGGTGGCCAATCGGAGGTGCTGACCTCTTTGGCAAGTAAACACGATCATTTCGTTTGTTTACCAACTGCTGGACTACGAATGTTTTCTCATCGGAGACGGAGAAAACCAAATTCGGCAGTTCACCACTTTCGGCCAAGCGAAGCAACTCTTTAGCTCTTTTGAGTCTATTTTCTTTCTGTGTCTTTCTGTTGCGGTGTAAGTTCTTGCACTTTTTGGAATTTCAATGGCTTTACCCCAAGCTCAGTTTTCAATATTTTCCGAATGGAATATTGCGATATGTTCAGCTCACGAGTCATTTTTTCGGCCAATGCGACGCCGGTTTCGATCAAGTCGCTTCATTTCTTTGCTTTTCGAACCATTTCTGCTGATGTTGCTGTTTTCTTCCGTCCACATCCTTGACGTTGGGCTACGCTACCAGTATCACGGTAACGAGCGATGGTGCGAGACCCAAGAGATTTATTCACATTTAAATGCTGGAGTGCTCTAACGATAGCCATTTGTGGTTTTCCAGCCAAATATAAAGAAATCACACTATCACGCTTGAATTCCATCACGAACAACTTTTTTTTTTGTGGAAAATTCTCACCAAAATGCATAATGAGCTGTCACTGAAATAATTTTCACAGGTGTCGGATGAGTGGCTTAGAAATGACAGCAGTCTGAAGTTGGTTGCAGTTTTTTCATCTGACCCTGTATATATTTTGCCATATGGCTGGGGCATAAAAATCAAGGTCCAAACTAAAGTATTATATTTCTAGAATGGTTTTCCAGGGCCATTACATCAAAAATCGTGAAGTTTTTAAGAACATTGCTAGGACCAACAAACTTATAATCGTGGATATAAAATTGTGGATTTGTTGGACTATTTTTTAAGAACTATGTGTCCCTATAACGATCTTAGAAATCCACCATTAATAGACCAATGGTGGATTTCTAAGATCTT